CCGGAACCGCCGGCCGGTGACGAGCCGGCCGGACAGGTTTTTAATTTTTTTTTTCTTTTTGATAATAATTATAATAATAATAATAATTATAAATAATTCTAATTAAAATAATAATAATAATAATAATAATAATAATAATAATAATTACAAATTAGAAATAATTTTAATAACAATTATAAATTATAATGATTATATATTATAATAATAATTATTAAATATTATTATAATAATAAGTTGAATAAATTATAATTAATTATAAATTCTAAAAATAATATTAATAATATTAATTTTCTAACACATATATTGTTACTTGTTGTAGGAAGCACAAGGAGGAAGAGGTTGAACCATATCTTGAGTAAGTCTGTGATTATATCTTACGCATAACAGACAACATATAACATATAAGTATTTATAATTTTCTAACACATATATTGTTACTTGTTGTAGGAAGCACAAGGAGGAACTTCTATTAGATGGTTGTGAAAATATAGATAAAAGCCATAAAGAGTTATTTCCTGCATGGTTCAAAAAACATGTAAAGTTATCTTGTTAATTATATATCTTTATTTTTTTAATTAACTCCATTATATTTTTAAGAATTTTATTTGTATTTTTCAGATGACCTTGTTATATCATGAAGAACCATCTAAATCACATGAGTCCTTGTATGCCCTGGCCTGTGCACCTAAAAAATGTGTGAGGAAATATTCCGGCTGCATTGTAAATGGAGTAAGGTTTCTAACTAAGGAACGTGATAATAGGCGTAAAACTCAGAATAGTGGGGTTGTAGTAGAAGGTAACCATGGAGGAGATTTCATTGATTTTTATGGGGTCTTGAGCAAGATAATTCAACTTGATTATGTGAAAGATAGGCATGTTACCATTTTCAAATGTGATTGGTTTGATCTTGGGTGCAAAAAAAGACCAGGGATACAGAAGGATGGAAATATTGTGAGAGTTAGAGTTAGTAGAAAGTGGTATGAGAATGATTCTTGCATACTAGCAAATCAAGCAGGACAAGTTTTTTACATCAAAGATCCTAAATTAGGAAATGATTGGCGAGTAGTACAACCATTCCAACATAGGCATGTTTATGATGTTGATGAGATGCAAGGTGAAGAAATGGATGTTGATGATATCTTGGCTGTGGAAGATGAAGTATATCAGGCGAATGATGTAAATGATGTGCTTACCATTAGTATTGATGAAATAGAGTTGCTAAATAGGAAGGACATAGATCCCGAAGATATTGCCGATACAATAATAGAAAGCTCACATGAAGTTAGTGAGGTTGTACGCCTAGATGACATCGAGAACGAAGATGAGTTGGATGACACTTTGGTTGACTATTGTAGCAGTGAAGAAGATTCTCAGAAGAACCACAATTCTAATGATGGGAGTGACGATGATGATTGGGGCCTTGACATTTGATTATCTGTAAATCTCATTTTATTTTGGTATGTGAAAAATATACTTGATTTCTAATGTATTCTTGCTTTAGTTGATTTTTTCCTATTCTCCTTATTTATAATAAATATTATCTCGTAGGCGATCGATGATGGGAGGTGGTGGGAATGTTGATAGGGGATTTGGCGGATCCACAGCTGCTGGTGGAGTTCTCACCCTCGCCTGACGGACAGTTCCCCTAAAATTCGCACAAGAAGGTCTAGTGAGTTCCGTATTTTTTGTGATGATTTTTCTTTTCATTTGTCTTTGGTTTTTTTTAAGGGATTTAGAGTTGTTTGTTCGTTGACGGTTGTATTTTGAATTTGTTAATGGTTTGTTTACACTGAATGAAGAAGTTATTGAATTTAGAATTTACGAATCCGATGGGTTTCAACATTTATAGTTTTATGGTTCTTGTTTGAATCTAATGGGTTACAGCTTTTATGTTTTTATAGTTTTTGTTTTTTCCATTAAACAAATATCTGAAGGAGCACAACTTCACAAAGTTAGTTTCAGTTGACTTTAGCTAAGTTAGGGGAAAGTCTTGCTTTTGCTGGGTGCTGTTGGCTTGTTCTTGCTCTTTTTGGTCCTATCTTGTTGTATCTTTTTGGTCCTATTTTGTTGTTTTTCTCTTATCTGTAGTTTTTGTTTGTTTTTTGGCTTTTGCCTTTATGTTTTGGCTAGTTTTGTAGGGCCGCTATTTTAGTGCTTGGTGCTGTTTTTGTTTTTCTTTAAATATCTTGCTTAGAGTTTGGTTAGTTTCTTATGGGACAAACGCCTTTTCTGGTTTACCCGTCTCCTGATTTCCTGCTTGGTCAGTAGTAGGGAGTTTGGATTGCATTCATTTGGGCCGTTGTACGCTTTTGAGTTTTGTTTAATTGAATCATTTATTCGTTTCGGAAAAAATAAAGAAAGGTAAGCAGCAGTGCACGTTTTCTTGCTGCGTATATTGATTCGAACTGAATGTATGATTCTTCACTCTCTGTAAGCGCTGACCTTTTCTTGCTCGTTAGCTGCTGGAGTTTTCTTGCCAGGTACGGAAGTTTTCAAATCCATTTACTGAGTTTTCTGGTCGGTCAGTAAATAGGTCTGGGTCTGTGTGTCTGAGTGTAATGCTCTTTCTCTTTCTGTTGTTTTAGCCTAAATCAAATAGGCAGGCACCAAAGAATATTAGCTCAAGCCTTTTTCGTCCCGTTGAAAGAAGGACCTGCCTTAGGGTTCGGTTCTGCTTCAGGATAAACGTCATATGTTAGTTCGACTAATGTTGGTTTGAATGCTTATGCTCGGTCAAACACTTGTCAAAGTCTAAACTGTTCAGTCTGTCTTTTTTACGAGAAGTGAACCAGGTTTTGTTCTGAGCAGGAAGATATGCCAAGGCTGGCAGTGCCGTGGAAAAAAGAAAGAAAAATAAATTATATTATCAATGAACAGTGTCAATATCTGTGAGAATGGTTTCTGCTCCTGTAATAAGTCTCTCACTTAGATCTGTTTCTGTTTTGGAGTTTTGGAGGATCCTATGAAGGACGGACAATATAACAATTGCAGCCATTGCATAGAACACCCAATATGGTGATAAAGCCAAGGCAGATATATAGGAAAAATATCCGACAAGGAGATATGCAAAGCTCAGGTTTGGAAACAGCAGAAAATTGAATTTAGGCTTCGAATCACATACTCCATGCACCACAACACCACAGAGTCCCAACTCAAACCCGTTAAATCATCTTTCATTTTAACTTTATTTAGCATTCTTGAAGAAAAATGCAGCGCAACTTTCAGTCAAAACAAGACAAATAACACAAATCAAAGCATTCAGCCATTTTACACAAGCACCTTGTAAGCAAAATCCAATATGCCATATTCCTTGTAAAACCAAAAAGAACAAATGACATAGTACATAATGCATATACATAGTAGAACCGCAATTACAATGCTCAACTAATCATTGTTACCTCAACATGAACTTATCCTAATACTTACACCTAAGTCTCTCCACAAGCCTCAACCTATCATATTTCATCCTAACCAGCCACACTCAACCTATCATGCCTCATCCTTGCTCCTCCTGAGGCTGAACATGTTGTATTCCACGTCGAGCATGTACTCGACTGTCTCCACTTTAAGCGGGTGCTCAGCCCGTGACAACTTTTTGCCGCCACTATCTGCATTGCTTGGTACCTGAGCTGGTCGATGTACCTAATTGAGATGTGCTGGACATAG